GCGCAAAGAGAGGGAGAGAGATAGAGAGAGAGAGAGAACCAACAAAGAAGAACGAGCGAGAGATGGAAACAAACAAGGAAACAACACCAGACGAACCTGCAGGGATGAAAGTGAGGCGCCAGGTCGAATGGGACGGCGAGAATGATGGGCACATGGAAGAAAGAAAGAGGACAACAAAGGAAATCAGAGGAAGCGGGAGAGAACCAGAAGGAAACAAAAAGGGCGAACGGTATAATGAACTACGGATAGACAGATCGACGGGAGCACAACCAGAGGTAGAGGAGAGAAAGAGAAAGCGAGAGGGAGAGAGGGAGAGAGAGTGAGCAAAGGAGAGCGAGAGCGATGGAGAACGAGAGAAAGACAGAGAGATAGAGAGAGAAAAAAAGTCAAGAATGCAAAACACGATGGCGCAATGCCAGCCAGTCCTCGCTCGGTGGGGTCACGAAGCTGCTATCTTTCTCGACCAGCGCCTTCTCCAAATCTGCCACCTATGAATATCAGCCAGCCGTCAATCATATCACACAACGCACAGACACGTATCGCAAACAGACCAAGACGAACAACGGGAATAGCGCACTGTGCAGTGTCGCATGGCACGTCACACATTGACACCAATCTCCACACATACGCCAGGCCTGCTGGAAACAGGTTCTTCGCTGATGAACGTGTCTTCAGACGCCACTTGTAAGCAGAATGACAAATCAAATATGCTGGACCCCTGCTCTGCAAGGCCCACATGGACATACTTTCGGCATGGTGCTGCACGTGTCCTGGCCCCTGAGAAACACGGGCTTGGCTAACCGTGTTTCACTATACAGGTACGCAATCAATCTCATCGTGCTGCCAACGGCGGCTTCAAACTAGCAAGACAAAATTGTTCTACCTGTGACGGAAGCAGGGGTGCCCGAAGTGAGCGAGCTTCCGATATTCGAACGTTCAGGGAAAACTCGAGCGCCGAATACGTGGGATTCCAAGCACATTTTACAAGCACACTTAGGCAGTTCGGGTGCAAGCCATGGACACGTGGACAAGTATGCTGGCACATATTGTGGACAACGCACATCGAGTCCTGAAGGACACTTGGCTGTTTGCCTGCCGTGCGGCGCCAAAACCAGCGAACGGGCTGATGGCAAACATTCGGGAGAGCATCACGAAATCCGACAAAAAAGCACTACCCCTTACGAATTCCCCTCTTCACCCTGAGATTTCCGAAACAACGATGCACAGTCAGACATGCCCCATGAGCAACTCTGAGCATGAGCTTCGAAACCCTTCGGCCACCTCGGCGCAGTCTTACCTTCAAAACCTATTCGGGGCGAGGACGGGCCGCTAAAGACCCAGTCCATCGAGCTGCCCTGAGCTTGCGCGAATGGCGGGGGGCGCGTCGTGGACTGGGCGTGTGCGGCCTGCTCGCTTGACGGCTTGCTGGCTACAAGAAAACAGGACAGTCTTCGGCACGCAGGCACGTGAGCGCGACCGTTGCTTCCAGCATGCAGGTACAGTGCGATATCTTAGGCAGCTTACAGGCGGGTCCTGGTACTCTGACGATCGGAACACGCATGCTAATATTTAGCCTGCCTGAGGGTAATCATCATCATCATCGTCGTCCTTGTGTTTGTGGTTATTGTGGTTGTATTGACCCTTCTGCTGCCTCCTGCCTCCTCCTCATCATGATCATCATCCCTCGCTCCTCTTCCTCCTCCTCTCCTGCCCTCCCTGCTTATCCTGTCTCCTCCTCCTCCTCCTCCTCCTCCCCCTACTCCGCATCCTGTTCCTGTCTCCTCCTCCTCCTCCTCCTCCTCCTCCGGTGCGCGCAGCCAGTCGCTCAGGCGCCTCAGTGCCGCTAGCTGGTAAATCCAGTGCAAGCCGTTCTTCGGATTACTTACCAACATGAGGTTGGGGTACTGTGGGAGGGATCCCGCTGGAGACGCCCTTGCAATGTACTAACCAACGAGGTTCCCATTCGAGACTTCCTCCAGACTCCATCCTCAGGAACCCAAAAGTGACGACAACTACAAGATTGGAACAACCCCCATCGGATAAAAAACATAAGGTGGGGAAGAGCTCCCGCTCGAGCCTTCCTGCAATTCACTCACAGACGAGGCTCCCGCTCGAGACTTCCTGAGAATTCAAGCCTCAAGGGCCCAAAAAGAATGAGATGGCCCCGTCGGATTAAAGACATAGAATAGTGACCCCCTCAGGAGGGTTTCCTGCTTGAGACTCCCTTGCAATTCACTCACCGACGAGGCTCCCTCTCGAGACTTCCTCAAGATTCAGGCCTCAAGGGCCCCAAAGTGGCAGCAGCTGCAAGATTGAGATGACCCCTCGGATAAGAAGCAGGGCTCCCGCTTCAGACGTCATCGCAAATCACTTACAGGCGAGGCTCCCGCTCGAGACTTCCTCAGAATTCAAGCCTCAAGGGCCCACGAGAAATGAGATGGCCCCGTCGGATAAAGATATAAAATGGTGACCCCCTCGGGAGGGTCTCCTGCTTGAGACTCCCTTGCAATTCACTCACCGACGAGGCTCCCGCTCGAGATTTCCTCAAGATTCAGGCCTCAAGGGCCCCAAAGTGGCAGCAGCTGCAAGATTGAGATGACCCCCTCGGATAAAAAACAGGGCTCCCGCCGTTCGAGACGGCATCGCAAATCACTCACAGACGAGGCTCCCGCTCGAGACTTCCCCAAGATGAGTGGGTGAGTGAGTGCGTGAGTGTGTGTGTGTGGAGTGCTGATGATGAGAATGGTGACGATGATGTTGTGAGTTTGCGAGTGCACGTGATGAGGATGATGACAAGTGCAAAGAGAAGTAATATATGAGAGGGGGCGAGGTGTGCGCGGGGGCGCCTGGACTCCCAACGAAAACCCAGCGACCCGGCGCAGGAGAGGGACAGCCGCCGAACCAGAAAGTGAACGAGGAGGAGATTCGGCGAAGTTTCTGGCGCGGGGGGCAGGGTAGGTGATTCCCAACCCTCCTGTGCTCGGTTCGTCTTTTAAATCAAGCGCTGCTGGTCTCGCACTGCTGGTCTTCATTCTCCTCCGCCGCCTTCCTTCCCCAGCATCCTACCTCCCAGCTGAGTCTCTCCTGCTACGCGAGGCTGCGAACTGCGCAACTGTCGCCACGTTCGTGGGCTCCTGGGCGGTCCAGCGAAGTGGTATGCTATGCGCATCCAGACTAAATCTCGTGGCTCCCTGGGGACTGCCACCTGCGCAACTATATCCGCTTTCGTCTGCTCCTGGGAAGCCCCGCGAAGTTGTGTCCAACGCACATCCAAATCATACCTCGCGGCGCCTTGCAGGGATGCGAACTGCGCAACTGTCGGCACGTTCGTAGGGTCCTGGGAGGCCCAGCGGAGTGGCGCCCGACCCGCATCAAGATTTGACCTCGTGGCTCCTTGGGGGGCTGCCACCTGCTCAACCGTCGCCACTATCGTGGGCTCCTGGCAGATCTCGCGGAGTGGTGCCCTACGCGCACCCAAATCACGTAGACCTCGTGGCTCCTTGCGGAGCTGCCACCTGCGCAACTGTCGCCACTGTCGTGGACTCGTGGGAGGCACATCGGGGTGGTATCCCACGCGCGTCCAGATCAAACCTCGCGGCTCCCCTCGGGGCTGCCACCTGCGCAATTGTCGCCGCTCTCGCGGGCTCCCCGGAGGTCCCGCGGAATGACTTTTTACGGAAACCCATAGCAGACCTCGCCCTCCCCGCGGGGCTGCGAACTGTCCAGCTGTCGCCACTTTCTTGGGCTCCAGGGAGGTCCAGCGGAATAATGTCTCGCAGCGTCCTGGGAGGCCCAGCGGGGTGACGTCTTAGGAGGAACCAAACGAGAAATTGCCCTCCCCGCGGGCCTGCGAACTGCGCAACCGTCGGCATGGTCGTGTGCTCCTGGGAGGCCCAGCGGAGTAACGTCTTACGGGGGACGAGACTCGCCCTCCCTGCGCGGCTGCGAACTGCGCAACTGTCGCCACTGTCGTGGGCTCCTGGGAATCCAGCGGAGGAGAGATCCCTACGCATATCCAAACGCGACCTAATCAGCCTTCTCCACGGGGCAGCGAACGGCCCAACTGTCGTCACGATCGCGGGCTCCAAGGAGTTCCACCGGAGAGGCGTCTTATGCAAACCCAATCGAGACCTCGTGGCTCCCTGCGGAGCTGCGAACTGCGCAATTGTCGCCACTGTCGCTGGCGTCTGGTAGGTTCAGCGGGGTCACGCCTTACACTTACCCAAAGGAGACCTCGCCCTCCCCGCGGGGCTGCGAACTGCGCAACTGTCGCCACGTTCGCGGGCTCCTGGGAGGCGCCGTGGAGTTGGGGGGGCACGCGGATCCGGTCGTGGCGAAACGGTCAAGGATGCCGCAAACCCCTCGGTGCTTTCTTTCGTATTGAGCGGTAGCCGCCTCGTGTTTAGAAGGGGCTGGGTACGCCTCGGGTGATTTGTTCGCGGCCGCGCCCGGCGAATCCCCGGAGTTGTTGGCCTGACGGGGGTGGGCGGGCTCGTTAATCTGGATGAGTGGCAGTATTCCGCGGCGCCTCGCAGCGCGGGCATGGGAGGGCATGGCGATACGGCGACAAGCGCCAAAAACCGGCGCGGCGGTGGGCGGCGCAAGCAATTCAAGACGATGTTCCACGAGATGTTGCCAGAACAGGGCTGGGGGACCTAGAATCGGCAAGGAGCCCCTGGTCCTAAGTGCGAGCGCTCCTTGGGGAGCATGCAATAGCCGCTGTAGTGCCAGCAGCCCGGATGTACCAAGGGCCACAGGCCAGACACGATCCGTGTGACTTGTGGCGCTTTCATTATACAGAAACGCGCCGAGACGCCCCGAGAGAAACAAATACGATATAGGCAGGGAGCGCGAGCGTGGGGGAGTTCGGCCTGGGGGAGGGAGCAGCACCAGACCATGAGCAAGCATGTGGGTCGCTGGCGATCAGCGTGCGCATCCCCCCTAACCGAAACAACGGCCTCTACGTACTTCGCCGCGCGCATGACGCGCACGTCCAGGTGCACCAGCTGCAAAGGCACCTCCTCGGCCAAGAGGCTGGGGCGAAACCAGAAGTCTGTGACTGCTCGTGCTTCCCGCCTGCCCTCCCTTTTCGGGAAATAAGGGGAACGAGGAGGACAAGAGGAGGCTTCAGAGGCCCCCAAGATGGCCCGAGGTGGCTCCAGCATGGTCCCCCAATCCCCAGGACGATTTCTAAGACTGCCGACGGCCTCCACGCCGACCCCAGTTGTCCACAAAAGAGGGCTCCACGATCGGAGACTCGCAAGGAAGGCCACCGATAAGCCAATATCATAGGACAGCAAGAGGTATCTCATGTGTTTTTGCCCAAGAGAACCCCGAGAATGCCCGACAGGCCTTGAACACATAATTACCTAATTAGCCTCAATGGGGTAAAACATGGCCTGGCAACAAAGAGACCAGCCTAAGAAAGCCCCAAGAAATGCCCCAAATACTTGCCAGGTCTCAGAGGAGCCCAAGAGTCCCAGCGGAACCCATTGACATGGCCAGGACCCGCCCTGGGTTAGAGATTTGCTCGCTCATTCCTCTTACTGTCGACAGCGCGAGCACAAAAAAAGACGCACTTGGCAATTCGAGATTCATGCGACCCCTCCTTCACTCTTCCTCCTCCTCCTCCTCCTCATCCTCCTCCTCCTCCTCCTCCTGCTCCTCCTCGTCCTCCTCGTAACGATCCCGCGCCTCTTCTCCCTCCTTTTCCTTTTCCTCCACCTCCTCCGCATCATGTCGCCGTTCCTCCTACCCCTTCCTGCCGATTCTCCTCCTCTTCCTCCTCTTCCTCCTCCTCCTCCTCCTCCTCGTCCTCCTCCACTCTGTCCTGCCTAGGTCACCCGAGGAACCCACGACGTCGACGCGAATTCCCTCTTCGGGGTGTGGGCGACATGACGCAAGCCTGTAGGATCAGAGTCGAAGCCGTGGGTGGGGCAGAGAAGAATAAGAAGAACAATAATACCTGAGGGCAACAGCTCGAGGACAGCATTCAGCCCTATAACCAGGCCACTCCTGTCATTTCCTCGTCATCTTTCGCCTCGTCCTCATTCCCCCCCCGTCCTCTTCCTCCCTTTGAGTCAGCAAGGCTCCTCGTCCAATGTGGCCACGTACACGTCTGTCATCGTCTTGTCGACGTGCCCGCTGAAGAGGCCACGAGTGATCTCCTGCGCGGCGTATCGGACTCGCCACATTTTCAGGAGAACGACGCCGAAGTGGATCCCTTCCCAAAGGCTCCCAGACATCCAAAGTTGGAAATGGGGCAGTCTATTTTGGATGTTGCTGCCCTTAACTGCAGGCGTTTCCCGCTGTGTCGTATGAATAAATGTTTGTTGGAGCGTCGGGCGATGCCGGAGGTGAGCCCCAACAACAATCCTCTTCGAGGGGACAGTGGTAGACCCAGCAGCAAGGGCCGCGACGCTTTTCTGATGATACCCGACAAGCTGCTAAAACGCATGTCACATGCATTTCAGGTTGCCTGGTTCGCCACATACGCTGCTTATCTGGATCGTTTGCGCATGGCGCAGCGCTGCAGCAAGACCTGGCAGGCTTAATTCCCACCGAGAACTGGATGCTGACTGTCCTGGCCGCGCGCTATGCTTAACTAATGACTCCGATGCAACCAGCAATAACGGCGCCACTGCGGTGAGTCCAACCGACGCGATCCAGGGCGTAAAGCTTTCCCGACTCACGGCGACACGCAGATCGTCAAGCGCACACTACAGCACCAGTCCTATTCTCAAGAAGTCGATTCGCTGGCTGCGCTTAAGAGCCTGGACTCTTGCGTAAGCGATGGTAGAGGCGTGGTGCGTCGACTGCCGTAGCTGGGGGGCTGGTAGCCGAGAGAGAGAGAGAGAGAAAACAAAAAAGAGAGGTGCAGAGAGCAAGATAACACCCATATAGATGTACACATATATACACACATACCTACAGGACTGCATCCGCGCTTCGCGCCACGCACCATGGTCCTTGAAGTTTGGCATGCACGCGGAAGGGCAGGAAGGTGAACCCATAACATTTAACGATAACTCCTTGTTGCCTTTCTCGACATCGGTGTTAAACTAATGTGATTAATCAAACTTCCCTCGTGTGTCCCCTCCCTCTTCCTCATTCTGGCCCTGCCCTGCGAATTCTTCCCCATCCTCCGCAGCTCTGTTTGCGGAGGGCCTCACGCAAGATATTCAAAAGGCTTCCTGGGGCCTTCTGGAGCTCTCCTGGACGACTTCTGGGAGCCTCTGGAGTCTTTCTCGGGCTACCCTGCTTCCACCGCGGTCTCCCTGAGCGGACGACCAGGTCACGATTTGGAATGCTTCGGGGGGCGTGTTAGGGCCATATCGGGCCGTCATGCGGCTCTCTTCGGGCCGTCTCGGGGCTCTGTTGGGCCGTCTTGGGGAATCCCTTTCGGGTAGGCCTGGGGCGAGTTTCTGGCCTCCTGGGCGGTCTCAGACGCCCGAAATTCCGAAGAACACAGAATTCCCCAACTCCTACATAAGCAATCATCGGCGCTGAACGATGTTCATCCATATCGAATAGCTACTTTTTCTTGGGTATTTGAGGGCAAGTCTATGTTGTCGGCCCCGGAAATGCATACCCAAAAGATCTCAAACTGCTCTGAAACAGCAGCACGTGCAACATGATTCTTCTGGGGCCTGCCTGGCGCGTGAAGTTCCAGGGTAACCTCGCGCTTGCCGACGAAAGCTAACATCTTGAACTAAGTATTCTTGGGCGTGCGGGGTCCTGCGGCTTGAGCACGGATGATGAATTTGAAACCATATGAAATAACGGGTTTCACGGACTTGGCTTAGCCTATGGGGGGAAGCCTGCGGGGGGCAACCTATGACCTATGAGGAGCAACCTCTGCGGGGGGGGGGGGGCAGGCTATGGACGGGACGACGACGACGAAGAGCTTTAACTCAAAGGCTGGCAATTCATCTTCGATCCCCCCATCGACCAGCATAGCATTTCGTGCGCGGGATCCTTTCCCAAGGCACCACGGGCGGCCATGGCGCTTGCCATGGGGGTTACCAAAAGCTCCAAGACGCCGCAGGCAGGCCGCCGAAGCCGCCAATGCGGTCCCCCCACGACGGCTTCACGCGGCCCCCAATACGGCTGGGGCTTCATACGGGAAACGTATGAGGTGGGAGGCACCGCGCACGTGACCCAGAGGCGGGTGGGTCAACCGAAAACTGGTTGAGAAAAACAAGAGCTGTACGGGGCCCCTACATGCACTGAGATATCCCCACTCAATACATTCCCGCATGAAGCAAGCATCACGCAGGTGACCCACAGGCGGGTGGATCACCCGAAAACTGTTCGGGGAAAACAAAGAGTTTCACTTGCATGCTGGGCCACACCATGAAGTAATGTATCCACATCCACTGCACTTCCTGCATGAAGCAGGCACCACACAGGTGGCCTGCAGGCGGGCGGGTCACCCGAAAACTGGTTGAGCAAAAACAGTTGTTACATGTGCATTGCATATGGCCCACCATGAGTTGATGCATCCCCACCCAATACACTTTCCGCATGAAGCAGGCGCCGCGCAGGTGACCCATAGGTGGGTGGGTCACGCGAAAACTGGTCGTGAAAAGCCAGCTGGTTCACTTGCAGTCTTGACCCTGACGATGTTCGAGGCATCGTTGCCCTCGGGCGCTTCCCTCGTCGCCTCGGCTGGATACAGCTCGGGCAGCTGGTGCGGATGGACCCCTAAGGAGTGGCCTGGGCACCGACCTTGAGCGCTGTTGGGGGCCGCTTGCCGTGAGCGTCGGCCCAGGGGCGAGCAGGGCGATGACGAAACGGGGAGGTCACGAAGAGGGAGGAGGAGGAGGAGGAGGAGGAGGAGGAGGAGGAGGAGGAGGAGGAGGGAGGAGAGGAGGAGGAGGAGGAGGAGGAGGAGGAGGAGGAAGGGGGCATGTGGAGGGGAAGCAGAAGAGGAAGGGGGACGAGGAGGGGGAGGGGGAAGGACGAAGAGGGGGAGGAGGGGAGGAGGACGAGGAGGAGGAGGCGGAGGAGGAGGAAGAGGAGGAGGAGGAGGAGGAGGAGGAGGAGGAGGATTGGCAGCAGGCGAAGGGCAGAAACGGAGGACGGAGACGAAAGGACGAGCAGGCAGAAGGTGGGGAGAGAGGGAAAAGGAAGAAAGGAGGAGAGAGGGCAGATGAGGGAGGCGAGGCGAGAGGGCAGACGATGGAAGAGGGAGGACGGGCGCGACAGGGGGGGCCTTCCCTTCAGGACCCCTGGACCTCCAACGTTTTGACCAAATACAAACGGAGGTTTTACACCACTTTTGTTTGATGTCTGAGTGTTTGGCACGGTGTTGCAATTTCTCCAGATTTCATCGAGCACACGGCTGGGCCCAGTTCGGTGTCTCGGCCCCCTGAGACCTGCTGGGGAGGGGGAGGGGCAAAGCGGCGGGGGAGGAGGAGGAGTGGAGGCAGAAGAAGGGCTCTGTTGTCCGATTTTCTGGTTCGGTGCCTCGGCTGCCCCCAGATCTGAACGCGCGGGCGATCGACGCCGTGCTGTTTGATTTGTTGGTTCGGCGTCTCGTCCTCCCCAGAATTGAACCAAACCTGAGCGCACGGACGACCGAGGCCATGATGTCTGATCGTCTGGCCCGGCGTCTCGGCTATTTCGCATCTGGACCAACCGGCGATCGAGATTATGATGTACAATGCGGGCGCGGCCGCCAGAAACCCTCGCAAGACACCCAACCCTGAAAACACGCGTGCGAGGAGCGCCCGAGGGGAAACCCGGAGCACCCTGAACGCAGCCGCTCCCTCCCCGGCTGCGGGAGACCACCGCGCGGCGCGCGGAGCTAAGAAACCCAGGATACCCTGACGAAAAGCAGATGGTTTCTTGATGCGCGCCCCCGCTGTATGACTTCCTCGCTTGGGTGATCCACGCAAGTGACCCACAAGTGGGTCACCAAAAAAACCGGCCGAGAAAAAAAATGCTCCACAAGCATTCTGGGCCCCAACACGAAGTGATGTAGTCCCACTCGATAAATTTCACGCATGCAGCAAACACCACGCAAAAGACCCACAGGCGGGTGGGTCACCCGAAAACTGGTTGGGAAAGTCCAATATGTTTCACCTGCTTGCTGGGCCCCAACACAAAGTGATACATTCCCATTCGATAAATTTCACGCGTGAAGCAGACACCACGCAGGAGACCCACAGGCGGGTGGGCCACCCGAAAGCTGGCTGAAAAAAACAACTGTTTTACCTGTAGTCGGGGCCGCAACATGCGGTATCATGGGGATGTAATCCCATTCAGGACACTTCCCACATAAAGCAGGCACCATGCAGGTGACCCGCAGACTGGTGGGTCACCCGAGCACTGGTTGAGAAAAAGCAAGTGTTTCACTTGCTTTCTGTGTCTCAACATGAAGTGGTGTACTAATCACATCCAGTATCTATCCTGCATGAAGGAGGCACCACGCAAGTTACCCACAGGCGGGAGGGCCACCCGAAAACTTGTTGATAGAAGCGGATCGTTTCACTTGCATTCTCAGGAGTCTCCCATTGGCTCAGAACCAAGAGTCTCTCGAGGGTCCCTATGGGATTTCTGACGATTTCTGGGCAGCGCAGGAAGGTATGCCCAAATTGGTGGGTACGGCCGCAATTTGACTGTATCATTCTTCCGGGTGCCTGGGGGGGGGGCCTGGAGGGATGGAATGTTGAAGTTCAATTTGAACGAGATTCCCTCGAATTTGTCGAAAGAACCAGGGCCAAATTACACGAGCGTCGACTCGTACAAACACCATGGGGAATCCATGTTTTCTGCGTTTCGAAGGCCTCTTGGGGCTCTTCTTTGGGTCGTCTTCGGGCATATGGTCGTTGTCTGCTCTGGGGACACACCGGTTTGTGAACATAGAGAACATGGAATGCGTGTGTGTGTGTGTGTACATATTTCTATGTGTGTATGTGTATGTATATAAACACGTGCATAGAGAGCGGGGGTTCTAAGATGCAGAGCCCCCTCTCTCCAGGCAGCAAATGAGGAACCACAGAAAAAAGAGCGAGCAGCGAGAGGAGACAGGCGAGAAAGGCGTGTGCATCCACGCGCCGCGACAGCGCACAGCCTCGTCGTTCCCGAGCAAAGGAGCTGGGCTTGCCTGATATTCGTGTCTATGTGTCAGGGGGGGGGCGGCGGGGGTGGGGGGGTGGAATGTGGACTCCCTATGCATGGCCCTGTGAGGCAGCCGCAGGGCTCACACTGCGCATGACACCTAGGCCAAGGAGATGCTAAGGCTAGCAAGCTCACCTGAAGGCCGACGGCTGGGCGAGCACCCTTCACAAGAGCAGCAACCACCTCGTAGCATCTGCTTTGCGATCCGACTGGAATCATTAGAGTGGGGCGAACCATCGCGGGGCTCACAGGTGGTCTCGGATGCCCAGAAGACCGACGATACGGGTAACAAAAAAGTGGGGGAGGAGGAGGAGGAGGAGGAGGAGGAGGAGGAGGAGGAGGAGGAGGAGGAGGAGGAGGAGGAGGAGGAGGAGGAGGAGGAGGGGGTCGTCGTGAGGCGCCTCGGAGGGCTCTGGGGCCGTTTGGGGCTCTCGTGGGGTCGCTTTGACGCCGTCCTGGCCGCTCTTGGGCCCGCCCTCAAGGCCCCACGCGGACGTCCGCGGGGCCCCCGGAAGGCCAAAGGGAACGTCCTGCAGGGGCGTCTGGGAAGTCCAGGGGTCCCGGGTGTTGGAGGCCTGGAAATGGGCACCAACACCAACACAGGGGTTTGCCTCCACAGGGGGAAGGTGATCCTAGATTTCGGTGTTGTTCGTAACATTTCGGTCACCCTGGAAGCCAGAATCTTACCACCATCACCGAGATCGGGATCATCTTTCCTCGGTGGAGGCACATCGCCGAGATTGGTGTTGGTGTCAACCTCTGGGCCTCCGACAGAAGGTCGCATTTTTCTACAGAGCGGGGTGCCCCCCAGGGTTGTAGGCACGTGGGACCACGAGCACACGTGGAATGGTGCACGGATGTGCTCTGGAAGCCAAGCGTGCTTTACACCTGCATGCCGGAAAAGCCCGCTGCGGAGAGCAGAATATAATTGTGGTGTACACGACCACGTAAATCCGCATACAGGGAAGAATCAAGAAACGCTCGTTGTACCGACCGATTTCGAAGCCATACGAGCACGTGCCCGGCCAATTTCTGAGCGGCGGTGAACACCAAAGATCGACATTTGTGCGACCAAATCGCAAACGTCTTTTCCTGTTATCATACCATACCCGTTCCTCCCTCTTCCCTCTTCTCTTCGCCTTCCTGGGCGGGCCTGGCCGAATGGGCGAGGAATGAAAGGCCAGCACGCGCGTGCAATTTGAGGCTCCAGTTGGAAAATGCGCCACGGATCTGACAGGCCTGACGGAAGAGATGACGGGATACGACCTGTCAACGTGCAACTGTGAGGGCTGGGCGCTGGCGGTCTCCCTTTCGGTCTTCAGCGAGAAGGCCAAGGACATGTGCGTGTCGAGTGCAACCTCGATGCCGAACTCCTTCTCTAGTTGGTGAGAATCAAAGCAAGGGTGGCGAGGCAGTGGGAAGGATGCGCTGAGACCATGGATGTAACATTCGTGAAACTCTGCTCCAATCCGCCGGGACTGGGCACCCCGATTCCTCGCCCAATAATTGAGGGTAGTTATATTATCGACCAACTGCATTCCGACAGATTCGGGTCGACCCGAACATTGGGTTGGGGGCGTCGGCTTATGGCAGCGGGCAACCAACACATTGACGCGACTCACTTGGGGGGTATGGGAGTTATCGTGGACACTGTTGCGATCAACTCTAAGTGGCCCCGAGCTTCCATCTGCACCTCCCCCAGTGCCATTGCACCCTCAGCTGCACGAGTTTCATTGTGTGTGTCCCTCCCCCGTAACACTCCACACGCCAAATCCTATCGTCGGATTTCTCATTGATGCCATTGGGCACTCCTTCGACAGCAGGTGCAAGCGAATGCCGCCGTCGCTGCTTCCGAAGCGGCCCCTTGAAAGTCCGACCAGATAGGATATGCGGCGATCGTCGTCTCAGATGTTCTCTGCCGTGCGTCGGGATTGCTGCAGGTTGGAACTGTCACGTTTCAGAGCAGCATGCCGACGGTGTTGCCCTCGGGAGCTGTGCTGCGTACAGCTCCTAATCCCAGTGCGTGTGACAGTGTAGTTGTGATTGTTGCACCTGCAGCTGGAATTATTGCTGCGCCACAGCGCTCATGGTGTGAGTGACCACAGATGAAAAAAAAAACTGCGTGCGAATCGATTGAGACAGCACGCGCAAGCAATGCACATAACGACTGTCGTAACATGCTACCAAAGGCCATGTTGAACATGGTATTGAAGATGCTGTAAGGACGAACGTGCTCAAAACACGTTTTTTTCACCAGAACGATGCAAACTGCCGGCTTCCCAACTGATGAGAAGGGGACTCCACCAAGAACACCAACTGATGTGCATCCGCCCTCGGCCTCCTGGCCGCGTGGCCGATGGCCTGCTCTCCCAGAGGACACGCAGGCTCCCGTGACACAGAAGACGAGGAGGGAAGGCAGAATGGGAGGAAGGAGGACAGAGGCGAGTTCCCAGATGATACGCAGTCTCCCGTGAAACAGAAGACGAGGAGGGAAGGCGGAATGGGAGGAAGGAGGACAGAGGCGAGGCAAGAGGGACCGACGACGGCGCCGTGCGTGTATCCCCACAGTGCCTCAACGACCATGAATATGATTGTGCATCGCACAGTGGCAGGCGAAAGGACAGCGTTCAGTACACAGCAAGATATAGCACACGCAGATTCGCGGATGCCTGCAGGCAACCAGTCATACGCAGACATAGCCCTGGAATTGGGCAGCTCGCAGAGCAAGGCGCCCACAAGATGGATCGGACCCTACAGGCCAAGATTGTGCCGCAGCCCCTACCGCATCGAGCAAGAATGGATAGACCCATTGCATGCGAAACCCCGGTGGCGGCCAGGCAGCCACTTATAGAAAGCGCACAATGGGAGCCGAACGAACTGCCGAAAGTAGCGGAAAAGCACGACCGCTCTGGACCCAGGCCCGGGGGCGAGGAGGAGGAGGAGGAGGAGGACGAGAAGGAGGAGGAGGAGCGTCAAGGAGGGGGCGCGCAGGAGAGCGACTCACGCCGTCGCCACCATAGCGTCGTACCCCGGCACCGGCATCAAGATCTCCCTGTCGATCTTGATGGTGCTACGGCTGATGATGACAAGCGGAACCACGACAGGTATTGCTGGTAGCCGTCCCCGTGCATGGGGGGTGCGCCGTGGGCCCAGCAGCGCAACTCCCTGCGCTCGGGTCGTGCATTGAATTCAGCTGGAGTCGGGGTCGGAGCCAGCGTCGGGGCAGGAGTCGATGTTGGAGTGGAGTTGCGCATGCACGGTCCCTGCTGTGGAGGTGGAAGGGGCGCAGAGTGTGGAACCTGTAGCGGCAGTGGTGGCGGTGGGGGTGGTGGTCATGGCGGCGGCGATGGTGGCGACAGTGATTGCCGGAGTGGTGCCAGTCTTGCTGCTCGGAGCTTGGCGTCGGTGCTGGCGTCGGCGCTGGTGTGGGAGCTTGCGTTGGTGCTGGTGCAGGCGCAGGCGTGGATGCTGGCGTCGGTGCTGCCGTGGGCGCCAGCGTGCGCGCCTGGAACACCGGTGAGCTAGGCAGCTCGCCGGTGCGTTGGGGTCGGTGGTGGCGTCGGCGCTGGTGTAAGCGCTGTAGCTCGTGTTGGTGTCAGTGCTGGCGTCGACGCTGGTGTAGGTGCTTGCGTCGGGACTGGTACAGGCGCCCGCATGAATGCTGGCGTCGGTGCTGGCAGCGCCGCTGGCGTAGGCGCCCGCGTTTGCTCTGGTGTAGGTGCTAGAATCGGGGCCGGCGTTGGAGGCGGGGCCGGGAGTGGGCCCAGCGCAAACGTCGGAAAGGGAAGCGGAGGTAGAAGCTGAGTCTGCGCCGCAGCATGAGTTTGGCAGCGTCGATGGTGGAGGCTGAATCGGTGGTGGTAGCAAGAATGG